TGGAAGGACTGATCCACGGACCTACCAGCTCAGTCTCAGCCAACAAGAAAGAACCCAGACGATTTAACACGCGACGCGCAGCTCGGCGCCCGGAACGTTATGCACCCCCAATGCTGATGGCCAACGGGAAGGCGCGTGGCACCGGGCATGCGCGTCGCATCCCACCTGTGCCTGTCGGGCTGGATTCCCCGACCCCCCACCGGGGCCCCACTGAGAACTCTCGACTCTGTCATCTGTCGGCAGTTCCTTGTGCCCCAGGGACCCAGATACCTCCAATAACACCCCCATGACTCGCCCTGTCTTCCTCAGAGCCCCTCACCTCGTAGCCCACCCTCCTCCCTCGTTCTGGGCCCACCATAACAAGGGTCGTGGCGGCAGCGACGCCTGTGTGGACTAGGATTCCAAGGACCCTGCACCTCGGGGGCCGCAGATCGTGCCACCACGACCCTCCAAAGCCCGCTGGCTCCCTCCTCACACTCACAGTTAGACTCTTGGAAGGGCGGATGTACAGATCTACCAGCTCAGTCTCAGCCAACAAGAAACAACCCAGACGATTTAACATGCGACGCGCACAGCTCGGCGCCCGGAACGTTATGCACCCCCAATGCTGATAGCCGACAGGAAGGCGCCTGGCACCGGGCATGCGCACTACATCCCGCGTGCGGCTGATGGGCGGATTCCCCGCCCACCACCGCGGCCCCACTGAGGACTCTTGACTCTGTTCTCTGCCGGAAATTCCTTATGCCCCAAGACCCATATACCTCCAATAACACCCCCAAGACTCACCCCAGCTTCCTCAGAGCCCCTCACCTCGCAGCCCACCCTCCTCCCTTGTCCTGGCCCCCCCACAACAAGGCTGTTGGCGGCTGAGACGCCTGTGAAAACGACTAGGACCTCGTGGCCCCCTCCTCCGGGGCCACAGGTCACATGGCTACCAGCCCTCAGAACCCTGCTGGCTGCCTCCTCACACTTTTAGTTACACTACTGGAAGCAAAGATCTATGATCCTACCGACTGAGTCTCAGCCAACAAGAAAGTG